TTTTTTTTTTTAAGTCAAATTTGTTTAATCATCTTTCCAAGTACCATATATCTTAAGCCCAACTCACTTTTAAATATTTAATTTTTTGGTTTTTTGGGGAACCAGGGATTGAACTCAGGCCCTTGCACTTGCCAGGGAAGCTCTTATTCTACTAAGCCATCTCCCTGGCCCCCTTTTTTTGTCTTTTTGAAACAGGGTCACCCTGTGCAGCTCAGACTGGCTTTGAGCTTGTTTTGTAGCCCAGGCTGGTCTTGAACTTGCAGTGACCCTCCTGCCTCAGCCCCAGGAGTGCTGGGATTGCATGCACCACTACACTAGCCTGGGAGTGCTAACCTCTTAAAAAGGAAGGTCTTCAGACTTGGCATGGTGGCCTATGCCTGTAATCCCAGGGCTGGGGAGGCAGAAAACAGGAAGATCACTGGAGTTGGAGTTGTGAGCTGCATAGTGAGACCCAGTACTAAATAAAATAAAAAAGGAAGGTCATCCATATTTACTTCAACCATTTTGACCACTAGGTGGCCTGTGTAGCAGCTGTCCCTTGTATGGAGAGGACACAGAGCACACAGCCTCAAGATCCTGATAATTGGGGGCGGGAGAGCTGGCTCAGTGGAATAAGCACTTGCCTGGGAAGCCCAGTGGCCTGAGTTCAATCCTCAAGGATGTCTTCTGGCAAATTAAAAACAACAACAAACTAGGAATGTGCTCTACCACTGAGCTATGCCCCAGCCCAAAAGGTTTCTTGGCAGAACCGGGGATTGAACTCAGGCCCTTGCATTTGCCAGGCAAGCGCATATTCCCTTTGTGCCCTCAGTCCCTACAAGCAAGCACTGAAGCCCCACATGGCACACACTTCCTTTATTATTATTATTATTTTTTTTTTTTGGCGAAACCGGGGATTGAACTCAGACCCTTGTGCTTGCCAGGGAAGTACTTATTCCACTGAGCCATCTCCCCAGCCCTGTTCTTCTGCCTGAAGTCCCCCTTTCTCTGAACTGTGGCCCCTAAGCCTCCATTTACCCATCTATGAAATGGGTAAAATCCTTGGGCTTACCCAAAGAAACATGGGCAAAGCATGTGAACAGGCAGCTCATGTATGAGGAAATGCAAGTATCAATAGGCATACAAAAGTATGCAAGACCCCAAAGAAATAAGGTGACGTGCTAATTTGAACAGCTTTCTCACATAAGAGATTGTCAAAATGAAAATACCTGAGGGCCAGGGATGTCACTGAGAAGCACAGTAGTACCTGTCTGAAGTGCAAGGTTCTAAGTTCAATTTCCAGTACCAAAAAAATTAATAATACTCTCCATAAACTAGGTGCAGTGATGTCGGTCTGTTATTTCTAGCTACTCCAGAGGCTGAGGCAGCAGGATCCTGAGCTCAAGGCATGACTAGGAAACCTAGCAAGACCCTGTCTCAAAAGAAAAAATCTCCTAGCCAGGCATGGTGTTGAAGATCTGTAATCCCAGCAGTTAGGGGACTAAGGCAGGAGGA